GGCCACCTGCCGTATGTGCGAGGCAGTTGATAGTGTTTATACCATGTGGGATGATTGCTGTCTCCACAAAGTGGATTATTCAGGATGAAGATCACAATTCATTACTTGTTGCTGTGTGAGTTCTACGAAATCCTTAGAGAGAAGTTTATGTTAATGCCTGTCAACAGATTACAGGTTTAAAAAGACTTGCTTAGAAATCAAAACCCGATGATGCGGTCTCCTCCAGATGCTCAGTGCCATTTTGTAGAGTTGTGGCTGTTTACAGTAGTTGGGGATCCAGCTCAAAATTCATTATGCATGTGAGAGAAGATCTGATTAAAGGAAAAGCAGCAGCCTGCTTAGCCAGTTTAGCCTGATACAATTCAAAACTCAAGGAGAAAGGTACATCTGTAATGAAGAGCAACAACAACAGCATGCTTTGCATTTCCTATCAGTCACGTCTCCAGTGTAATCCCTTTATCTCCGTTGGCTTGTTTGTTTTAGCTGTCGGTTTTCCTGTTCTTTGTTAAGCTCCTCTGGTTTCTTCAGTATGCCAGTCCTACCATCATATCAGAAAATCCACTCTGGGAGTGATATTTTCCAGGGTTCTTTCGAAATCTCCACTGAATTTTAAATTTGCTGCTGCATATCTGTTTGTTCCACCTTAGCATTTCATCACATCGCTCGTGTCTGCAACCCCAAAACTGTGAAGCATCTGTAGGGCTTTGAATGGCCAAACACTGGCACACCAGGTGCCATGCTGGTTGTGTCATCATAGAGTTGCTTCAGCCTACTAACAAAAGTGGTGAATTTACAGGATTTCGACATTTGGTTTAATCTGTATTACATTCCAATAGTGGATTCAGGGATTTTACTTAAAAAATAAAATAAAATAAAAGGCATATCATATTGTTTAGAGGCACACAAGCAGAGACGGGCCAAAGCCACAGGGGACAGTGCATCTACACTTGCTGTAGGTGAGATGGACTTGAACACTTAAGCAGGAAATAAACATTTGGCTTGGGCTGGAAAGACGCGTTCAAGTTGTAGTCCTGTTTTTAAAGGGTCATCTCATTTTTGGCTTAGGCTGTTTCTAAACAGCAAATAAGTGAGTTTTCTTTGATAAAGGTTCTTACATTCCAATGTGGTTTGGGAACATAAAATCTAGCAAGATAAAAAGTTAAAGTATTGCATTGCAGGAGCTGGATTTTTGTGAGGAAAAAACCACCCCATTGCTTCTCAGAGCATCCTGTGTCCGAGATTTCAGGCTAAACTCCCCGTACTTCTTTTGCAGATTACGGCAAGAGAATGACATGGTTGACTCGGCTCCTCAGTGGGAGGCTGTACTACGGCGACAAAAGGAGAAAAACCAGGCGGATCCAAACTACCGGCGATCCAGGCACAGATCTCGATCGTATGTAACCCTTGCCCTCTTCATTGGAAAATTGGGGCTGCTGTAGCATGTTAAAAAGCAGGAGGAACATCTCCGGCGCAGTGATGGCTCTCAGCTGCTGAGGAACAGAGACTTTCATGTGGCATGTTCTCTTATTCACAGATTTGTCTTTGTGGTCAAACTCCTTTCATATAGTGATTTGAATTTCAGGGTACAAATGACACAGGAAGGGCTTTGTAACAGGGTTTGTCAGGAGCTCTCTCCATCACCTTGGATGGAGTCCTGGATGATTTTGTGGCTCCTTGAGCATTAGTTCTGTAATGAAGACAGTGATTCTCCTCTTCTGGGCATTATGTCTGTGAAAACATTCAGATTTTGTGTGATAGGTGCAGGCATTTTTGTGAGATGCTTTGTTTAATCATCTAATGGCTGCGGTATTGTTCCAGATGAGACCAGCTACTGATGTCTCCATGTCAAATTACCATTGGCAAGCAGCAGTCAGTGATCTATTGCATCCTGATGTCAGGATTTCCATGATGAAGCCCTGCCGCCAGACAATGCTGTTGCTGCTGACAGCTAGTTTTGACACAGTGAAGCTGTCAGCTTCTCAAATTAATTTTCTCAAACTCATGAAAACGCTGATTTCTTTTAATTTGTATTTTTCTTTTAATGGCATGTTTTTGGAGTGCAGACATACTGTTTTGTGTTGTGTTTGTGTCCAGCCTAATCTGCCATCCAAGCAACCATCCAAAGCAGCACCAGCATCAGTGTGCCTGGCAGGCAGGGCAGGGCAGGGCAGGGCAAGACAGGGCCAGGGATGTTGAAAAATGCCTGGAGAGCAGCTGTGAGGCCCTGGGAGAGAACGCAAGAGAGAGGAGGCTTTGAAACTGTATCCCCACCCTCACTGCGTGGCTGAAATGGATGAGATGTCCAGCCCTGATGCTGGTGGTGTAATGTGTGACCTCTGTAACACACCAACATAGATACTTCCTATTAATGTCTTTTCTTAAATTTACCTTTCATGTTAAGACTTATCAGCAGAGACTATATAGTGCCTTAAGTGATTATTTCATTCATACTGGTTGAAACCGTAATCTGCGCAGAAGTTTCCAGTATTAAAGTCCACTTGAATTCTGTTCTCAGTTGCCCGTGTTGCTAGAACTCATTTCTGTCTCCAGTTTCATAGTGTACAGTTTTCATTCTTTTATGAGAAATAGAATTTGCCATTAAAATTCTAAATGTTGGAATTTCTACTTTAACTAGCTTTGTACAGACTTGTTCACTTCCAGCTGCACAAAAGTCAAGTGTTATTAGGTGTAATCATACAATGATATATGACTGAAAATCAGGATTATTAAAGCTCACTTGTATGGAATCCACAAAATATAGATGATTAAGTTTGATGTTCATTTTTTACTATATGCAGAAAGTGCATAAACTAGAAAGTGTACTCAGTTGATAATGGTTAGATTAAATTTATAGCCAATTTTAATTTTTTTCCCATAGACCAGGTAGATTTCATTGCTTGGACAGCATGGGCTCCCTCTTGTGGTTTACTTAACTTACGAAATGGCTTTTTATTTTCCAGCACAGTGACGTTCTAAGTCATATTTTATTTAAGCTACTATTAGCAAAAAACGTAAATGTATAGCATCTTACTTAACAAGGAAAGGTCCTAGAGGAAGCAAAGAAATGAGGAAATCCTGAAGATTTTGAATAGCTTCTTGTCCCTTTTTCCTGTTGTGTTAGTGATGAATATATTCCTTCTTTTGGTCTCTTCAGTTTAAAAAAATACAAAACCAAAACAATGAAATAAGCCCAAGCCTCCCAAGTACGAAAAAGATCATTAATATATGCAAGTAGGAACTAAAAAAAAAAAAGGAAAATTGGAATTCCCTTGTTAGTTATAAGAGCGTTCTTTTAATTTAGTTTGGCTCAGCTTTTTGCTTACATGACTGGATGCGGGTCAGAGGGAAGGGAAACCTGTGATATAAACCTGGGGTATAGGGTATAGTTGGTTTTGTTTTTAAATGTGGTCATTTCAATTTGCACATTTAATGATTGATACAAAACCTTCATTCTGGTAGTACAGATAAGTCACATTAAGTTTCTTATTGCAGTCATCTTAACTAGTGGTTCACTTTGGAAGCGTGAAGTAATGGCTGAAATATTTGTTACTGTGCCTGGCACAGTGCATTTCATTTGTGTGATAGTGAGTAATATTAATCATTGGTGGTGGTGGTGGTGTGGTGTCTCCTTGATCTCAGGAATAAAAATATTTGACAAGAATTTGACCTTTCTTTCTCCTAAAGGAATCAGCAAATACAGAGAGCTCCCAATTCTAGTTCTACAGGGTTTATTTTCAAGAGTTCATGTAAAACATCTGTGTAGCCAAAGGGCTTCTTTTAATTAAGAAGAATGGCCATTAAAATTCCATGGCTATTTAAATTTACCTTTTGTGACTCAAACTGAAATATTAATGAGGGTGCAGATGCAGACCAAAAAATAATGTAGACCTTATTAATGTGTAGAGTTGTTTGAGCTTGTGAAAATGAAATAAGAATAAACAACACCCCCCTCGGAGACTCATCACTTACTGGGAATTCCCATTTGGCTTGGTGCATTAGAGAATCTGATTAGCGTACAAATTATCGAGAAGCTATTGATTCCAGGTACTGCAGTAGGACAATCTGAGTATACATTGTATTTCAGAACCGTGAGTTTTAAAACAATTCACAGTAAAAAGATGAAAACACAGTGAAAGAGGGACTGTGATCTGGCTTTAAAGATTTAATAGAAGGATTGCTTCGTTGTGGGCTGTGAAGAACTATACAAACATGAATTTCCTATGCCATATATGCAATAGTGACATTTCACCTTAACAAGACCTTTCTTTTTGTAAGCTTTTCTTCATTTTGCCTTCAAAGAAAGCAGGAACAAGCCTTTGGAAGGAAAATGCTTTTATTAAGATACTTTATCTGTGTCATATTTCTGGATATTCTTTTGTGAGGAGTTAACCTGAATAAATGCTGTGAGGTTTTCCCAGTATGGTAACACTTCTTAAATGTATGGAAAATAAATAGTGTCGAGATGGGAATTCCTAAAAGCAGTTTGCTCTCAGGAACTATTGTGTTTAGTCCTTTTCCTTTTCTTTTTTTTTATTTTTTTCCCCCATGGGATGCCATATTGCTAAACTGGTATTTTACAGCAGTGGCAATTCCTTGTTAGTGTAGTTGCAGGGGTGGAAGGAGGGAATATGGCAAGGATCACAGAATTAAATTCCTGGAGTTGGCCGCAGAAAGCAGGAGGCACAGAAAACAGAGAAACAAAGATGACTTCTTCTTTAACCACTCTCTTTCCACCCCAACCCACAGATTAATATTTCTTACTGTAGGTGAGGCTTCACATGATGTTTGGTGATATGAGAGACTTAAGGCCACATCCTGAATGGTTGTATTTTATGAATAAGTAAAAGCCATGAGCTGATCAGATGGGTCAGTAGTGTGCACAATACCTTCCTTTGTGGGGATGCTGAATTTGGGAGAGACTTTGAGGCTTTGCTTCCTCGGGCAAAGGGGGGCTTGTAAGCATTACAAAGCCTCCCTGGAGAAACTGGCATTTTTCAGGGAGCTTTTGCATTCCCCACTGCCTGATTATTCAGCCTCAGAAGAGGACGCCTATCTTCACAGCCCCAGGGTGAATGCAGGGTTTGCAGCTGCTATTTCGTGAGCAGGGGGTTGCATGGAAGGAGAAATCAGTTCAAAACTGAGGGGTGAGAAAGGCTGTCAAATGCCACTACATACCAAGCTACTGCATCAGGGAGTTAAAGAGCAGATCTAAGAAAGAGAGGAGACATAAATGCAAGAAGGGAGAAGGAGAGACAGGAGAAGTGAAAATTGGAGAAAATTAAGCGCATTATAATGAACACAAATACATAAAGCCACAGAAAACTCTGAATGCTGAGAAAAATCAGAGTGCAAGCTACTCCTGGCCATAGCTGTTACCGTTATGAGGACCTGAGCAGTCGGAACGGACAGCAGAGCAGTCCGTCAAGGACGGGAATCACCTGGGTGGCTGCATCATGCTGCCTGGAAAGCCATCGCCACCTTGGAGCCTGAGAAGGTTATGGGTTAGTTCATATCAGTCCCACTAGGGAATCACAAATGTAGGGTTGTTTTCTTACCCTTCTGTCCCTTTCTGGTGTTTGTAAAGCAGTAAACTAGTTATCTCCCAGTACTTCTGCACTTGTAAAATCTAAAAAAACCACACAACCAGAAATATTATCATCCCTAAATAATCTGCCTTTACACCAACTGTAGAACATTTACTGCAATATAGATGTCTCTGAACATTATGCCTAGGCTGAAGTCTGGAAATGAGTCGAACACGGTAACGGTGAAATAAGAAAACGGTGAAACTGTTGGTGCTGGAGAGCAGTTTGGAATTCTCTCTCATACAGCTCTGTCACTGGGCAAGGGAGAGCCCATTTAACAGATGCTAAAATGCAGATCTCTGCTGTCCTCCTTGATTGATGTTCATTTAAATTAGGATTATATGACTCTAAAAGCATCTTTGAATATGATAGGCCCTTTTGTTTAAGGAAAAAAGGAAGTTGTATGATGTAAGATTTAATCTTTGAGAAACTGTGAGTTCAATGAGAGCATTTATGTATGCTGAATCTGTATAAAAGTTGCATCCCTCACATCTCAGATGGTGTGGAACAGTCTAGCTGTCTACACAGAGTTTATATAATCCTAATGAAATGAGTTATCTGATCTCTCCATGCAAATGTAGTTCTTGTCACTGTGTAAAATGCTTATTTAATGTATTACGCTGCATGGGTTTTAGTGAATTCTAGGTGCAACTCCAGCAACAGCAGTGGTTTTGCACTAACCTTGCAATAAGACAGGATAAGAAAAATAAAAATAAAAGGGATCTGGTTTGGAGATGGTATGGTCTGTGATTCAGTGGAAATGTGGGGCATGCCATTCAGGCTTGCTTTTCTACAGTATCTCTTTGTCTGCAACACTTTTGGCTAAGAACTTTCCCTATGAATGAAGCACTTGCTGAAATACTTGTTTACGTGAGTAAGCATGGTTGCTGGTTTGGTTTGTTTGTTGTTTTGGGTTTTTTTTTGTCCTGGACATCACAAAGGTTAATGGAAGTGAGCAGAAACCCTTCCTGGAAATGACCAGGAAGCGAGAGGCTGTACTGTGATCACAGCTGAACAACAGATCCTCTTTACTGGTGCTCGCTGGGAATGTCCAGGGCTTACTGGTGTGTCAGCCTGGTGTGGCCTGTCCCTCCTCCTGCCACAAAGGGCTCTGTGGGCCACAGGACATTTCTGGGGGCCTTTTACAAAAGTGTTGTTCCAGAACATGTTGTCCTCAACTGGATAAAGGGTGGCAGTAGCTGAGCACTGATTTGGCTTGGGAAGTTCTGCTGTTGCTTGTATTTTATGCATGCTCTTGCTGAAGGCTAGCGGAACAGGAATTGTGACTGAGAGCCTGTCATTCAAGAAATGACTTTTCAGTTATACAAAGGGATGAAGTTTAATGCATTTTCTGAGATAACAAACCTTAAAATTGAAGTCACTGGTGGGTTAAATTTTCTATGATTTCTGTTCAGAGTCTGTGCTGTTAAAAGTAATTTGAACAGCAGCATGTCAGACAATGGTTTTCACAGCTCTGCATTTGTTGGCTTTCTTGGTATTTATAGGAGAAGCCCGGATGTACAAGCTAAAGAAGAACTGTGGAAACATATTCAGTAAGTATGGTGCTTGTAGGGTCCGAGTGACTGCTTGGTGTGCCTCTAATGTAGTTATCCACATTCGCTGCACTGTGGCTATAAGGCATTACGTCCTGGTTTAGTTATGTGCCACAGGAAATTATGCGGGTGTTAATGACCTGCTATGTGTAGAAGATACTGCAGATAACTGAATGCACTGAATACCGATGACCATTGTATGTAGATGAACTGTTAAAGAAGGATACAGCATTTTAGAGTTTTGTTCCTCTGAGGCTTCCAAAATATCCTTGTTTGTAATACCGACACTTTTAGGATGAGGCCCCATATGCTGTAGAACTACTGGTTATGAAGACAGTTAGCTATTCCAAAGCATATTTGATGTTCAGTATACACAATGTTCATATATTTTGTGAAGCAACAAGATGAGATTTGCAGAGAGGTGAGAGGAAGGTGGAACAGGATGCGACATGCAGTTGAAGCAATCAAGGTGAAGTTAGACACATTTCTTAATAGATTTCCTGTTTTGATGTCAAGATAGCTTCAGGGCTGACAAGAGCTTGTTTCAGTAAATCTTTTCAGCCTCATATAATAAAAAGAAGAACAGTTTTGCAGTTGGTAGCTGCTGTTACATTTTTTACTTTGCCTAATCCTTTCTAGGAAGGAGCTTGTGGATCCCTCTGGCCTGTCCGAGGAGCAGCTGAAAGAAATTCCATACACTAAAATAGAGTGAGTTTGTCAGGATTTTTTTTTTGTGAATATAAAAGTCCACTTTTCTTATTTTACTGTGAACTCTGTCATACTGATATGGGAGTGGATTTACATATAATCTCTAAGCTTTTATCTACTCCGAAGGCTCCTCTAGGATGGGTTAGGTGAGGATGCTTAACAATTTTAAAACCTAATATTTTATCTTTCCAAAATACAAAAAAAAATCATCTTCATCTCTCCCTATCTCTCACACATACTCATGAACCTGGTGGATGTCTGTATGTCTCTCTATGTCGTCCGTCAATCTGTTTTATGTTACACGCTATGGAATCAGAGAGAAATGAATGCAAACAAGGAAATCCATTTATTTCCTAAACTTTTCTTCCTTTTCAGTTCTTATTCCTATCATCTAAGGCATTGTTTGACCTGTTCGACCCCTTTCCTCGCTTGTCATGGGCAGCCGCCAGGGCATAGCTATTTCCTTAAGAACGGACATCTATTTCACTGTGATAATTGCCCATTTGGGATGCCATGTGTCAGTGCAAGCAGCTGCATGTGGCAGAAATGTGATCCGGGTTTGCATTATAATGTGCTTCTATGACACCATTAAACAGAAAACGCTGATGTTAAAGCAGTATATATTAATGGGTTCTTTATTAAACAGTTTTATTGTGAAATATGGACTTGCCAGTTTGTGATCTTTGCACTTTTAAAGTACAGACTCCTAAGAAAAGCATCAGCCTTTTAAATTCAGCCAGTGCAAGAAGCCGTTACATTTCAACAAGAAATGGGAGGATCTCTCCATCTGCAATTGAATTTATGGTTTTGTGCTGAAGATCTGGTTTACTAACCTACCATTGTGAACCCTGTGTCTCTCTTAGGACTCAAGGCGACCCAATTCGCATTAGGCATTCACATTCCCCTCGAAGCTACCGTCAGTATCGGCGGTCCCAGTGCTCTGATGGTGAAAGATCTGTCCTGTCTGAAGTGAAGTACGTGAATGTGGTTGCTAGCAATGGACTGGTTTAGTGTGGCCCAAAAGTTGTTCAAAGGTCATGGTTACATTAGAAGTGGCATAAATGTGATTGCTTCCTGGCATAGGATTTAGGCAAACCTCTAAATAGTAGGTCATCAGAGCTAAATGACTCAAAAAAATGCAAAAACATTTCTGGTCTATTTGGGGTCACAGAGGCTGGCTTGATCTACTCAGAAGGGGGAAAAACTGAAAAAGCCAAAATAAACCTGTATTGCTCTTTGGTAGGTCATGAAGTTACCTAAGGGGTGAGAACTCCTGAGTTGCTTTCCAGATACTTCATCCTTAATGGAGTTAAGATGTCATCTTTATTAAGTCTGTAATTTGTTTCGTGAGAGCTCTAGTACAACCTTTTTCAGCAATGAGTGAATCAGTCTTTCCCAGAAGACAGACTTGTAAAGGGTGTGCTTGCAAATGGAGAAGTCATAGCCCCATTCTCAGTTTTGTTAAGGCCTTAAATATCAAAAGCAGTCCCTTGATGATACCACCCACTTCGGGGCTAGTTTTAGCTGGATTGCACCCTGAAGGAGGTGTGGCACACCCATGATTTCAAGTGAGACTCATCTCACATGAAGTTGGGCTGCCTCTGTAGACCAGGAGGAGACAGGTTCCTTGAGAAGGGATGGGGTGACCTATACCCCAAAGGTGCCCACTGACTACTGAGGATCAGCATGATTGCTTTTGGATCTCTAAAGTCAGGTGATAAACCTTTTGGAGCCTTTCAGATCTGTGTAGCTCTCTGGGTCAGTTTAATTATTCTTCCTGTGCACAGTTATAGTTTGCTTCCTTATAACAATATCCATTCTGTAATATCCTAATTCCAGTGCCAAAAATGATCTGGTGCCTCCACTGCCTGTTACACGATCTTCAGATGCTAGAGGGCCCAGCATTCAACAGGTTAGTAATTGTGCATCCTTTGCGATTTTCCTGTTTTGGAGACCTTCCCCAACCAGTGCTTTATTTAAATTAGATCTTTGTTTTTCAGTGAAAATTAAAGCTGGTGGAGATTTTTTTTTCAGAAGCAGTGTGACTTGAATCTTCACGTTTTGCAGTCTACTTTGTTTGTATTTCCAAATATATGTAGTTCTGTAGCATATGCCCTGCAAACGTCTACTTCTGCTACTGGAGGACTCTTTACCAGTTTGAGTTTGATGCTTCCTTGAGATTATACCCTGTTCTCCACAGGAGGAGAATCAACTTTCACAATTTCTTAAAATATGCAAGTGTGCTTAGGATGCCGTTGTAATTACAACCTACTATCATTTATTTGCCTCTTCTTAGAGCTTTTCTTAAAGTTTTGTTGCTTGGGCTTGAAGCATTGCTCTTTTTTTTTTTCCTTTTTTTTCCTTTCTTTTTTCCTTTTCTTTCCTTTCTTTTTTCCTTTTTTTTTCCTTTCTTTTTTCCTTTTTTTTCCTTTCTTTTTTTTGCCTCCAAATGCTGAATAGTTTTTTACATTATTCAAATCTGAAAAGGATAGAACTTGTCTTTTTAAATGTAGTCACTGGCTTTCATCATAAATTATGGTACCATATCTCTCAGCTTTATAGTTTTATTAAGCTCAAAATGTGAGAAGCAAATTATATTCAAAAAGCACTTGCAAGTCTGTTGTACAAGCACACTGAAGGAAAACCAAAACATGATAGACGCATTTTTACCTAACTTCCCACACCAGTCATTGTGTCTGTTAATCTAACTTGTGGAGATACCAAAACCGCATGCTGATGTAGTGTGAAAACTGCACAGAATATAACCAGCAAAATATGTCATATTTTATCTTGTAAGCGTTAGAATAACTTAAGGTTGAACAATTTTAAAACAATAAACAGATATACCAGTTCTTTGATTGGAATTATGTTCAAGGATATTGGTACTCCTGTGTATGATGAAATTGAAAAAGATGAGCTGTCCTTGATGTTTCTGTAAGGACTTGCTCCAGCAGTGAAGAGGAAGTTGATATACTTAAGGCTGATCACATTTACGTGCTTTGTAGAAATAGGTAACTTGCATGATTAAGTCCTATTCAAAATTCACATTGTCTTATTTCCATTCTTTTCCAATACAATGATGTTGCTTAAATTCATGCCCTAGAAGGAATTAACATCACAATGTTCTGTGTCCACAAACACCTCTGTCTTCCCTCTGCCTCAGACCCGCTTACAACAGTGGCCATTAATTCCTTGTGAGTGCTTGCGTGCAGTGTTTTGCTAAATATCTAATAATTAGTAGTGACATTTCTTGAATAGGGAACATGAATCCAAATAGTGCAGAGGGGCAGCAGCTGGCAGAGAGAGAGGAGGCAAGAGGGGGAAAAAGTTCTGTCTGATCAAAAAAATGTAGACTTTTTAATATTCTTGGGATGTGTGTGTGTATATATATATATATAAAAATTGCTATATCTTTAGCCTAGGGCTTTCATAGCAGCAGTTATCAAAATACAGTATTTAAATTCCGGTATACGTTTTCAACAACATATTTTAATTTGTTCTTTTCAGAGACAGAATGGTTCTAAAGACAGCCTAATAGAAGAAACATCTCAGCTATCCACTAACATCGATGGAAAATCCACCACTAAGATCATAAAAACTGTTCAGGTGTCACGCTTCAAGGTGGAAACTTGACTGCCATAACTGAAGATGGTGAATGGATTCTGTTGTTTGGAAACTGAGGATTTGTGTGTGTGTGCAAGGGAAGTCGACACGGTAGCAATTTCTTCAGGACACTCGGAAGCACAGCCTGCTTGCTGGAAAGGCCAAGCAATGCTTTTTATCACCGACACCCTTCTAGTGGTGTGACTGATTGAGGAGCAGCTGCCTAATTAGACAACCAAAAAGAAAAGTCATGGTAAAACTGAATGATCAGCAGTTACACTTCCAAAAAACGAACAAAAAATATTGCTGCAACAAAACAGGCTTTACTGTCTGCTCTGTAACTGAACAGCCTTTTTCCAAAAAATGACTGTTGACTGACATGATCAGGACCAGATGCTTCAAGAGAAGCAAAATAGTCATATTTTTGGCCAATTGTGCAATACAGTGTGATATGGGGAATATTACCTTCACAGTTTTATATGGGGATCAACTTGTGTCCTGAGACATAAGGACTGATAGCTCTTACGAGGTTTATTTTAGCCTAGCACAACAACAGATGCTTGTGTTGTTAATACAAATGTTGACTCAACCCATTTTAGCTCAAAAATAGTAGACTGCGTAACACCCTGTAGCAGAGAGTTCCAGAGGTGATACAGACTTACTTTCCCTTGGCAGTTTTAAGTGTTCTCAACTTTGAATGCCCTTTTACGTAGAGGGACTATTTAATTCAACATTCCATACCATAGAAATACATCTATCACCTTATAGTAAACCACACTGGAAAAAAACTGGAGAATATGTACTGATCCACCGTATTAAGACTGCTTAGCAAGGCACTTAAGTACTGGTTAAATGAGACTTGTAGAGTAGGATTTATGACAGCTAGCAAATAGCTTTTTTTTAAAAAAAAAAAACACTAGATGAGCAAAGTCTGCCTTAATCTCTTTTCATATGAAATAATCAACTTCCTGATGCTTTTCTCTGAGCCATGACAAAGGCAGTATTTAGGGTATGATAATTGCAATTTTTTTCTGTTGACACGGTAGGAATAGTAAGTTTTAATGATGCTGCACAGTGAGTGGATTATCTCCTAGTACATATCTGAAGTGATGTCTAGCTCTCCTTCTGTCCTATCACTATGTAAAAATAGCTGAAGTTCCTCTGCCTCCTGTTTGTCCGTAGTCAGTACATGGATGAGCCTTCTGGTGTTGCTAACTTACTAAGAAGCTTAGTAGAATCTTTGTGTGGTGAAAGTAACTCTCTAAGTGTAAGCCTCAAACTAAATATTGAATTTGTGAAACAGAATTGGAAATGTAGTAATACATGTGCCTTTTCACATCTGTCCTCCTTAAACTCAAGCCCCACTGCCTTCAGTGATAGGCAGTGATCCTGTCTTCTACCCCTTGCAACACCATACCAGGGGACTGCAGCCCTGTAAGAAAAGCAATACTGTTTGAGAACGGGAGTGAGCGTAAGGCATCCAAGCTATGCTTTACGAAAGGCATGGGATTACTAATACACATTTTAAGTGACAAAACTGAGAAGTGAAACCTTGAGTGGTGTATTTTCCACTTCATTTTTTGATTCTTTATTGTTTCATGATCTGAGGTGGTCAGGTGGATGCTACTAGCCAGGGTGGTAGCCATATGGCTTGAATATTCCTATCACAGAATGCATTGGTCTGCAGGTTGGGAGATGCTGCATCGTGCCAGGGAAGGCAAATATTTTTCTTCGGTCACTTATTTTGGACAGTTCTGCTTCTTCAGTCTCAGTGAACAAATCTAAGGGAAGGAAAGAGCTTAGAACCTCTCTGTGGTAAAAGTTTTGTTTTCATGGAGGTTCTTCCGCAATTTCTGAATTTACTATGGATCTCATCCTAGGACATTGTTTGGCTTGCCTTGAAGTATTTGCTCAAACTGTTTTGTAAGTCTGTTAAGTGGTTTCATTGTCATTGCTCCAATTAAAAGTGATCCTTTAGGATCTTGTTATGACATTGTGTAGTATTCTTACAAGCACCAGTTAAAAAAAAAAACAACAACCAACCAAACCAAACCAAAAGAAGAAAAAAAAGCCCATCACTGTGGCAAAGATTGTGGTGGTACAGAGCATCACAATCTTTTGGAAGACTACTGAAATTCAACAAACTACACAAGAACTGGTTATTGTGTCTGCAATGAAAGACACTCCTTATTTCTTCAAGGTGTTCAGAATAGGAGCATTATACGCTTGCTTGTAGATTGTGGCTTTCTAAATCATTACTGTTATTCTTCATTCCGTACTCAGGCACAAGCAAGTATAACATATCTACTACTTTAGGAGGATTTGTGTTGTTATTTGAGAATTATCTGTACATAGTGTCCATATCTTGCCAATCCTCAAATATTGATCAAGAAGAAAATTACTTCTAAGGTTTATTTCAAACCTCTTGTTTTCCTGTATGTTGTTATCTGCCTGTGGGCTTTTGTATATTATTGCTGGACAGCATCAGCCAAATGTATGGTATTTTACTTATCCCACTACATCAGAAAATAGGCTTCTGTCTAGTCTAATAGTGATAGGTTTAAAAGCTCAAGTCACAGGAGAGTTGTCTTATAATCAAGTCAACTTTTTTGCTTTTAAATGAGAAATTTACAGAAAGAGTCCTGGATTTGAGTTAGTGGTCTTATCTCCAATGAGACTACGTAGGAAACAGGTTTTAGCAAGTCCAGTGTTCAGTTTTGGGCACTACAATACAGTCTTGTGTCCACTAAGCTTAACACCTGTATTACATGTTAAGTGTCAGTACCAGAACAAGGCAAAACTTGAACAAGGATGTCACTGTCAGCTAATAGTACAGAAAAATAAACTTCTTCCCTATATGTGACCTTCCTTTCCTTTCAAGCTTATTTTCCTCCATCCTTTGAGGAAAGGCACCGTTTCTTGTGATGCTGTTATTTTTGTGTGAGAGATACCTACAAGCGATCCATCACTGAAAGCACTTACTGTGCCACAGCTATGCTCTGTAGCCCTAAACCAGCCCTACAACATCTGTAAGCAGCTGCCCTCTTAAAACTCTACACCTTGCTCTTTCCACTGTTGCTACCCTTCGCTGGCTTGCCTGGGGCTTTCGCTGCCTGGAGGCACTTATGTTTTCATACCTGGAGTTTGAATGCCAGTCCAAAATGCCTCCATCTCCTGATGAGTCAGGCAAAAGTCAGGAGGATGTTTAACCATGTCAGGCAAAGTTTACACTGGTTGGATGCCATACAGACCTGTCCTCACAAAGGACTGGTATTTCAGACATCCTAATTCTGCTTCTGGTCTGCTGAAGTGATCTCAGGCCAATAATTTTAGCTTTGTGCCTCTGCATTTAGCTCTTCTGAGACTTCTGTAAGTGCTAAGAATAGGTAAGTTGTGGAACTCTCTCACTTATTAATTAGCAACACCTACAACATAGATACAGCTCTTTGCAAAACATGTATTTTATACAATAAAGAGGGCTTGCTAACCACACCACAAAAGCATTTTTGTATATCCCATATTGATCCCCTGGCTTGTTAGCTGGTTTCTTTCATTAGGAGCTAGCCTTGACCTGCTGTTTTCTACACGGCACTTCTTAGCAATATCCATAATCTTGCAACTCATATTCTGATTGAGCTCATTAAATTGAACGTGTTTTTTGGGGGAGAAAAAAAAAAATCACTACCATTTTAAGTTGCCAACTCAATCATCTTTATACAGGTGCATACTGAACTGAATGGATAGCATATTTTCTTTTGGGAAAGCCTTTTTAATTCAACGCTCCCTAGAAAGATGTTTGAAAACAACATACATAAACTATCAACGTGATGCGTATGTTTTATGTACAGTAAGTATTCATGAAGCAACTGTGTGCTTTATTTTAAATTGAGTTTGATAGATGGCTGTGTCAATACTTGTGTCCAGGTTATTTAAAAGTCAAGTAAAACTTGAATTTTTAGGGCATTCCATGGTTGCCTGTGTCTTATTTACATTACACAAAGGAGCAAAGCCTTCAGAAACATAGATTAATTTGACAACACCATATGGCAAAAACAGGTGTAGTACCAATTAAAATCCACTTGAGGATACAGCTTCTCCAGATTAAGTGTTTTTCCTGGTAGCAGAAAGTTGTCAGTGTAAGTTTTATACTTCCAGTACATAGCCATACTACAGTTCCCTTTCTTACCTAAAAACCACCAGAAGGCAGCAGCAGACTACATAAGCCGTCAAACCAAACATACAGCTGCAGAGCCAGTGTGGCAGATGCTTTCTCCTTAATGTGCCTGTTTTAATTTCTCTGCTCTATTTGTCTTCTTGCTATGAGTTGTGGTGAGTTGACCTTGGCTGGACACCAAGCTGCTCTGTCACTCCGCTCCTCAGCAGAACAGGGAGGAGGAAAGAAAATCAGGTGGAAGAAAAACTCATGGGTCAAGATAAAAGCAGTTTAATAAAGCAAAAGCCGCACATATAAGCAAAGTAAACAAAACATTTATTCACTGCTTTCCATCAGCAGGCAATTCCAGCCACTTCCCAGGAAGCAGGGCTTCAGTACACATAGCTGTTGCTCCAGAAGAGACAAACATCATAAATAACAATGATGTTTCTCTCTTCCTTTCAATTGCTGAAGAGACATCATACCGCTTGGAATATCCCTTTGGTCAGTTTGAGTCAGGTGTCATGGCTATGGTCCCTCCCAGGATCTTGCCCACCTCCAGCCTACTGGGTGAAGGAGGCATGTTGGATAGACAGGTCCAATACCATGCAAGCACTGCTCAGCAGTAGCCAAAACACGGGTGTGTCATCAACACCTTTCTAGCTACCAATACATAGCACAGCACTAGAGGGGGCCCTTATGGGGAAAATTAATGCCATCTTAAGCCAGACCCAATACAAAAGTGAAGAAAATCACTGCCCTCCCAGCTGGTCACCATTTACATGATACACCCTGCTCGCTGTAACATGAAGCTCTCAAAAATAGCCAGGACTATGCAGCTATTTCCTCAATGAGAGTATCAGAATGTACTTGACAT